TGTTGATTCTGGATGTCCCAGAATTCTAGAAATATCACTATTGCTGTGGTTTCCTTTCCAAAGACCAATAATTTCACATTTATCAAAATCAGTTAATTCTTTAAGTTTTGGCATTTTTAATTTAAAATTAATTAAAAATTTGTAAATATTATGAATTATTGATACAATAATAATAATAAAATGAAAATATTTCACAATCTGGAATATTATTAACAAAGGTGTTCTTTTTTATGGATATTCTTTTAGATGTCTGACGATTATTAAAGATTAGATGAGATCCTTTGATTGATGTTTGGGAATATATATCGTAGTTGTGTATCCGGTAGAGAATCCGGTGGTATTTTTAGTCGAAAATGGAGAGATTTGTTTGGAAGGGGTTTAGTGTTATTCATTGAAGAACTGGTCTTTGTGGTTCATTTCCTTAATGTCTGAAAGGAAGTTGTAATGATTTTATATATATTAAATAAATTACATAATTAATAATTAAAATAAATAAATAATAATAACCAACGATTATGATATATTTGGAACATGAAGTCTAATTCCTTTTCTTATCCCTTTTTGCCATTTCAAGCAAACAAAACATTTATTGGTTGGCTTTATGGCATAAATTTTTTGATTAAAAAATATTTGTATATAATTAAATAATTAAATATTGATATATTAATAATTATACAAGCGGAGTAATTAAAGTATAAAAAGTCCGTGATGATTATATTTAAGTATATAAAAAGTAAAAGAATAAAAGAAATAATTAATTAGAATAGACTATACTATTTATAATTTCCCTTCCTTTTATTTACTTCTTTTTTCTGTTTTTGTTGTCGATTTTGTTGCCGATTTCAACTCATTAATTTACTGTATCAAAGAGCTAGGATTAATTTTTTTTAAAAAAAAATAGGAAAGTGAAAGAACTCTCCACACGAAAACTCAAGTTCTGATGAAAGATCGGAAGAAGTAATATCTTTAAAAATTTCAAATTACTAAGTATATCATCGGTTATTTAAATATAGGATCTAGAGAAAGGTGATTGATAATTAGAAAAAATCCTCCGGAAAAAGTTGTTTCTTTTTTAATTTATTTCTTTCACAAATTTAAAATTCAATTTCTATTATTATTATATTTTCATGAAATGGTTAAATTTTCGGTTTGTTTTAAATTACGCAATATAGTTATTACTACATGTTTCAAATTTTGTCGCTGATGTTCAGATGCACTTCATATATATATTTAGTGAACAATACTGTTTTTATTAATTTGAAATTACCAATTATAGATAATTTTTTTTATAAATCACATGATTTTAAGTACCACGATTAAAAGTATCAATGTTATCTGAGTGAAACACAAATGACTGTTTCAATGAAATGTCAATGAATTGTCAATGAATGAAAATATGTAAAATGCATTTTTTTTTGTTTATTTACCGTTAGATAACAATCAACTTAAAAAATTAAATATAGAACCGTGTGACAGAGAAGCATATTTTATGTAAAAAGTATAAAGTAAACCATTTTTCTCTGTTTTACAACAACATTATCAGTTAAATAGAAACTCAATTAAAATAATATTATAATTACAATAATTGTTTAAAACAAAAATGACAAGGTCAATTATTTTTTATAAATGGATGATGATAATTTGTTTATTCATTTTATTCCCAAATAAAGTATCATGCAAAGAACCTATCCCAACAATTCCTGCTCCGGTTCTTCCTCCGGAACCTGTTCCAGTTTCCGAAACTTATTTGGATCCTCGGGTTTATTCTATTGTAATCTCAAAGCAACTTGCTAATGGAACTAGGGTAAAAAGCAAATGATGATAATATTAAATGATGATAAACTGTTTAAAATTAAACTTTATAAATTAAAACTTTAAATATTAAACTATAAATAAATTAAAATAATATTCCAGCCTTCTGATGAATGCTATTACGTTTCCACACCACGCCCTCACGAAAATAAAAACGTCAGTTGGGACTGCGAAGCTGGGTAAATAAAGAATTAAAGATTTCTGATCTTATTTTAAAATTCAATTTATTTATTTAATAACTTCATTATTATTCCCTCAGATATTATTGTCTCAGTCCGAGGAACTCATCAAAATTCCTATGTCCTGATGGATTTTATTGTCCAGAAAATAGTTAGTATAATTTTTATTTTTCTTTATACTTTACACTCATAAATTAAATAAATAACTAAAAATGCTAAAATGTAAAACACATCCAATATATCTAAATAGGTGGTATGTATTATGAAATTTTTTTTCTTAATCCAAATTTCTCTTACCGCTCGTCAAATAACTTACATTATTTTTTTTTTTTATAAAATAGCACAGCCCGTTTATTGTTGTGAAGGTTATTATTGTGAAAATCCAAAAACTATCAAACTTTGTCCTGAAGGTAAAGAATAATTTAATAAAATAGCCTTTACATTTTTGTTTTAATTTTTTTTTTTTTGATTTATTTATACAATATTTTTATAATATTCTATAATATTTTTATAATATTTATAATATTTTTTATAATAGGTTACTTCTGCCCCGTAGGTAAGAAAAATATTTGCATGTCTTGGTGTCTTTTCTTTGCGAGTAGCCCTTTTATGTATATTTTTTTTTAAAATACGTATATAGGAACCGTGGATCCACTATCTTGTTATTATTTGGCTTATTGTCCACCCGGATCAACATTTGCCAATAAATATTTTATTGGAGTTATAGTAGTAATCTTTATATTATTGATCTTAATATTTCTCCGAACTATAAAGAACGCAAATGATAAAAAGAATGAAAAATATAAGAGATTATTAGAAGGACACAGAATTGAAAATAGTGAAAAGACTTTAGATCGCGTTTCACAAACATTTGATATTGAATTTGAAAATTTAGGTTTAATTTTACCTTCTGGCATCGAAATTATGAGGGTAATTTTTTTAATTTAATTAATATTTCATTATATTCATACTACTGCTTTTTTTCTCTTTATTTATTAATAATCCAAACTATTTTTTAAGGGAGTTTCAGGATCACTTATACATGGTAGAACATGTGCGATCATGGGTCCATCTGGTTTGTTATTTAAATTTCTTTAAAATATCTATAAACAATTGTTAATAATTATTAATATTTTCATAATTTTTATTTGTTTCTAGGTGCTGGTAAAACTACATTAGTTTCCCTTTTGACGGGAAAAGTAAGAAAAACCAATGGAACAATAAAAGGTATATAATAAATACTCAATTATACGTAATTATCTCAATTATAATGCTAATAAAACTTGCGTGCGTTTACTACGTAGTTGATGGAATTTCACAGCCTCTAGAATATTATAGAAAACTTATTGGATTCGTACCTCAAGAAGGTTATTTGATAATATTTCATTTCAATCTTTTAATTAAGAAAAAAATATTAATGATATTTTAATTTAATTTTTAGATATAATGCTCAGAGAGCTAACGATTCGCGAAATTTTGGTGGTATGTTAATTTTGATTTAATATCTAGAAATAATTTTATCTAAATTTATTAATGTTTATTTTTATTTACTTTATAAATCAAAAATATCTAGCATTCTGCACTAATGCGTTTACCAACCGAAATGGATCGTGAGGAAAAGAAAAAAAAAGTTGTTGATGTTATTAAATTTTTGGAATTGAGTCATGTAATGGATACTGCTATTGGTGATGAAGGTAATTTCCATTTTTTATTTTATATTGGCGAAAAAAAAATTTTTTTTAAAAAATAAAAAATAAATTCATTTAACATAACAGAGTCACGAGGTATATCGGGTGGTCAAAGAAAACGCACAAATATTGGAATGGAACTTGTAGCAGAACCATCTATCCTTTTCTTAGTAAGATTCATAAAAATTATCATTAAATTAAATTTTTTAATTTATTGAAATATATTTTTTAATTATTTATAGGATGAACCAACATCCGGTTTAGATTCAGCAACAGCATTAGAAGTATGTAAATTATTGAAAAGAATTGCGAAGAATCAAGGGATTACGGTTGCAGCCGTTATTCATTCACCATCAGAAAGATCTTTTGAAATGTTTGATGATCTTATGTTGTTGGGTAAAGGAGGAAGAGTTGTATATTTTGGACCTCGGAATGAAGCAATGCAATATTTTAGAAATCTTGGATTTATTATTCCTACATATGAAAGGTATTTTTTGGAAATAATTACTGAAATTTCAAATAATTTCAATAATTTTATTAATAATTTCAATAATTTATTTCATTCATTTTTCTAGCCAACCTGATTTTATGATGGAAATAGCATCAGGAAAAGGTACAAACAAGATAATAATATATTTAATATATATTTACAATAATTACTATATTATATTGACAAAGTTATATGCATATATATATATATACATATATTTTGTTTATAGTAAAACCAAGAGGTTATGATGATTTAAGCTTAGAAGATCTTTATGAATTATGGGAAAAGTTTCAAAATCAGAAAAGAAGCAGAGCAGTATATAATAATAACAATTATCAAGGAGTAATAATTGATATTGAATCATCACCTGTATGTGCAACAGGATTTTGTGCATCAATTTATGATTTTTATCAATATGCAATTGATGTTGGATTAGAATTTTTATATTTTCTTAAAGGACTTATTATTTTTTGGACGAAAGATCCCGTTCGTCAAACGCCGGGTGTTTTTTCATCATTTATACTTTTATTTAAAAGAGCATGTTTACAAATTTATCGAAACAAATCAAGATTTTTGTTTGATCTATTATTACATCTTGGTTGCGGAGCGTTTGTTTCTTTGGCAACAAATGACCTTGATTATATTGGATTAGTACCTTTGGAGATATGTTCTATAACGCCTTTTGTTGAATCAATAACTTGTTTAAGGCCGATTAATAATGATACCCTTCAGGTAAAAAGATAATTTTATAAATAAATTATTTATAATAAGAAAAAAGGGACTAAATTTTGTTTATTTCTTTTAGACTGTAGGAGTATTTGCAGCCTTGGGAATGACATTTTGTGGCATTAATGGTAAATTTATATAAAATATATAAAATAATATTATTATTTATACACTATTTATTAATATTAATTTATTAAATTAATCAGCCGGGTCAACAACATTTGGATTTGAAAAAGTTGTATATTGGCGTGATACATCTTCAGGGATGAAAACTATACCTTATTTCTTAGCAAAAAGTATTGCAGACATTCCAAGGATCTTAATAGCTGCGCTGATGTTTTCATTATCATTTATATTATTCTTTTCACATCGAGCACGTTATTGTGAAATTTATGTGATTATTTTATTTACTTATATTGCGGCATGGCAATTGGGTAAATTATTAATGATTAATCTATTTGTCTTTATATTTATCTTTATATTTATTTTTAATATTTTAATATATTTAAAATGTATTGTGATTATTTCTAGGTTATTTCTTATCCGCTATTTTTTCAAAAGAGAAATTAGGATTAGTAGGTACAGGATTTGCTCTTTTTTTTGGTATGGTTTTAAGTGGAGCAACTCCTAGATTGAATAAAATTAAAGAAAATGATAGCCTGAAGTGGATTTACTGGTTGTTTGATGTAATTTTATTTATTTATTTATTATTTATTTATTTTTTTTTTGTTTTATTTATTTTTTTATTTATTTTTCATTATTTATTTATTTTATTTATTTAGATTTCTGCACCAAGATGGACTGTTGAAGCAATATATCTTAAAGAATTAGAACCAAGAAAGTATGTATTTTATAATATTTATAAATAGTTTGAAATTTCTTTAATTTCTTTAATTCTAAAATTCTAAAATTTCTAATAGATGGGTTGAAATTCATACAGAAAAACTACACTTTACATATAGCTTTGACGATTATCCAAAAGCTTTGTATAATATATTATTTATTGCATTGGCATGGTCATTCCTAGCATTTTTAGCAATGAAATTGGTTAACCGAGATAAACAAAAATAATTACATAGGTTCATTCATATAAAACTTTAATTTAATTTTTTTCCCGTTGTTTTAAATTACTTAATATAAGGTTGTTCAACATAATATTTAACTGTATGAACAAGAATCAAATATTTGTTGAGACATTGTCCTTTTTGTGTTTGCTATTATTTAAAGAATATATTATTATATGATCTAATGTAATATAAATTTAGAGACTTTTAGCTGATACTTTTATTATGCAAAAAATAGCAATACAATTTTTTAATTAATTTTGTAAATTGACAATGTTTAGAGACTATCTGTATAATTTTAAGTTTTGTAGAAATTATGTTAAATACTTGAATTAAAAAAAAAACGACTCAAAGTTCTTTTAATAAAAATTACAATTGATATGGTTAAAAATTGTATAGGCGAAAATTATAAAACGCATATTTCGATCTGTAATTGAAAGAAAAAGGAATTTAGTTCAAAATTTTTGTCATATTTCTCATATTTCTCATTATTATTATTATATAATATTATACTGTATTATGTATATTTTTTAATTTATATTTGAAATATGATTAATTACTATAGTTAGCTCTAGTGATTCGGGTTTAGGACATTTAGGACAGTTTGGGACACAGCAGGCTAAACTAAAAGACGAAATGTAGAAGGATAGGCAAAACTTTTATTTACTTCCTTAGGTTTAAGGACTACTACCTGAGTGGTTATTGCAACAATAAAATTAATAAAATTAAAAGATAGAAAAAATATGGGCAGGTTTAGGATGATTTAGCTGAATCATTAGTTAGCTCTTAAAACTGAAGAGAGAATAGTTAATGTTAATGCTTTTAATTTTTTTTTATATTTACTAAAAAATATAGAATTGTGAAAATGGTTTATAAAAATAACACATTGGGCGTGTTCACATTCGGATCTATCCAAAATTCAATAATAAAATTTCTTGTTTTTAATTATTATCTAATCTAACTAATCTAACGAGCGATCAGTTGTTCTTTGGCAAAAATAAATTATTAGTTAATTAGTGTAAATAACGATTTACACTTAAATATATCTTTCTATATTTGAATTCATCATCCAGGATAACTGTTTATTCATCCTGGTACGAAAACCTTTTTTTTTGGATGACAGAGGATGAAGGTAAACAAGAAGAAATATTATAAAAATAGCTGCGGCGAGGAAAAAAAAAAGAGATTCCTTTTCGCCAAAAAAAGAACAAGAACCAAAATAAAAATATTTTACTTGATATTTCGAACAATTTTAATTTTAGTTTTATTTTT